GTTGAGTAAGCCATTGTCGGTGTGCAGCGCGGCACTTCTGGAAATTGGTCGACGAGAATTGCTGAAAATCACTCTGACGGCTGTATGAAAATGCCGCTAAGTAGGAAATGGCGTCGGCGAAAATTCGTTAAAACGCCGACTTGAAACTGAATCTGAGCCTATGTCTAACCCCGGACCCACACACCCCTAGGCCCTGTCCCGCAGCTACACAGCTCCGCAACCAGCTCCGCAACCAGCTCCGCAACCAGCTCCGCTCTGCTTCAACCTGTGTACCTGCTCTTGATTTGACGCGAGTCTTCCGTGAGGCGATTTCGCGAGGGGAGTTCGCCTATTCTGGCGGGGTCTGAGGGAAACTCGAGAACGAGTTTAAAGAGATGGTCGAAATTGAGATTCGACCAAGGAGAACCGAGGAGGAAATCGACGATGAGAAGCGTCAAAGTTTCAGAGATGAGAAATTCAACGAGGTCAAGCGCGAAGGCGGTCGACGATGAGAGGCGCGACTGCAGAGTGGAGCACGTCGAAATTCCGTCGACTCGAAACGAATGTCGCGACGATGAAGTGCTCGTAGCACGGGCACGTTAAGATGAGGACCTTGATCCGCGTGTGCGGATAGGTCGCTCTGATACTATGTAAGAAATAGAGTTGAAATGATTGATTAGGTAAGGAGCCCAAGGCTCTATAAGTACATGGCAAGGTGAGAGTGAATGGATGAAGGGAGAATTGGAGGGAATCCCTATTGGGATCTCCGGAATCTCCAATTGGGTAATTGGAGATTGTGGGGATCACAATTGGGTGAGGTTGGGATTTGTGAGTACACCCCAACCCACTAGAACATTCATAACCTAAACTAGGATATAAAAGTACAAATACAAAAGTGGTATTTGCAGTCTATTTCTAACAGTATTCGTTCAGGTTACCTCCATCGCCATCGTCGTCACCCTCTCGCCACCACCTGCTACCGCCTACATCATCAATTCGCTTGGTTCGCTTCACATTGTATAAACACGTCCCGCCTCGCAACCCGACACCTGACGACAGCAGTATCGATCAAGGATATTTGGCAGCTGGAAGTATCTGCAACTGTTGGAGTTGTGTTGGGGCCAGCTCGCAAACAGTGTTTGAATTGTGAAGAATTTATGGTTCGTGTGAGAGTCTTCCGGAGCAGTTATTTCTGAGTTTCAAGACCCTTAGAGCGGTTTACCGTGAAGATGCATTTTTACCTTGAAGCATGTTTTGGAGTTCTGGCGGTTGGAGTTTTGCAGCGGCATCTTCGACGCCGAGTTCCGGGATTTTACGGAGCATTGGGGGGTATTTTAACTACCCTGGAGCGTTGGGTTTCTTGGTAATTTACATCGATGGTTGGGAGTTGTTACTTCTTGGAAGGGGGGAGAGGGGCAGCTGCGCTGCAGATTTCGTCTGACCCTTCCGGCGTGTTTTATCATCCAGTTTCGACCGACATTCATCACCGTTACGCTTCCGCGCCTGATTTCGTCATCTCGTTGATGGATTTCGCTGACTTTCGTGGGACACGGACGCGTGCTCTCGCACGTGACAAGAACGACCTCACGTTCGGTGAATGGGTTCTCCATTTCATCGGCCACGTCATTCGGCAATCATCATTTCAAGATATTCAGCTGCCATGCGCCATCATCAATCGACCATTCGACGGTTCTCAATGTTCACAAGGCTTCCGCTGGTGTATTTACCCTTGCCTGTCGGTCAACTGGGAAATTTGACCATCTTCGACGGCTGAGATTAATAGCGACGTTTTGATGCTTCCTAACCCTTGATTAAAGTTCGAACTGAAGACCTCGTTAGGACGGCATCATCATTCCGCTCGTCACTGTATTGAAGACCTACAGTCACATCGGCGAATAATTTTAATGACAGTTCGGCCTTCGATATACGGAGGGCATTCTTTAGGAGGTGAGAGGATGTAGGAATTTCACGAATCCTTAGCGAGTACCGCAAACAGTGTGCGTCCGCAGCCTCGGCCTTCAAGTCTTGCGTCAAACCACCCCCGCCGACCTTATCGGCCCCGAACCTGTTACCGAGGCGCCCCGAACCCTGTTTGACCCCGTCACCCTCGGGACTCTCGAGCCCTTGACTGGTCCAACTCTCGAGGTTCAACCTGGTCAACTAGCGGTATATAAGCCCCAGGACTCATTCGTATTGAAAGAATTGTAGTCACGCTCCCCTATAGAATTCTGCGCTATACTCAGATATTTTTCATAACAAAAGGGTTGGGGTCTCAGATTCACTGTTCCAACACTCCCCTCATACCAGACCTGAAGCACACGCACTTGTACTCCCATATCCTCATGATCTCCACTTGCAACTCCTTTACCCTCACTATTGCTGCTGCGGCTGCTGCTCCTCATTACACTCCTCTTTCCCCCTTAAACTCCCCTCATTATCCTCCTCATTCTCCTCAAACTGCTCCACGGCTTCATGAAGAGTCACAAGGCCAACTCTTGCCTTGCACATATCAAATGAATCATGCGGAAGAACCTTTGTCATGAAATCTGCAGCTTGCTCTTTCGAACGGCAAAACTGGACACTAATCTTACCCTTTTCTAGCTGCTCACGAATGAAATTGTACTGCACCTCAATGTGTTTCGTGCGCCCATGATACATCGGGTTTTTTAAGAGAGCGATGGCTGGTGTGTTGTCCACATAGAATGGCGTAGGCTGAGCTTGCGGCTGCCCTAATTCCTCCAAGAGTCTACGTAACCGCATTGCCTCCCTTGCCCCCTTGGTCATTGCCTTGTACTCAGCTTCGGTTGAAGGGAGCGCGACACAACTCTGTTTCCTTGATTGCCAAGAGATGGTGGCACCACACATGAGGAAGATGAAGCCGCCGGTTTACTTGCGCGCGCTCAAATCTTCTGCCCAATCTGCATCAGTAAAGCCTTGGAGGGAGCATGCATCTGGGTTAGCTTGGAAGAAAATTCCCAGATTAGATGTACCCTTGAGATACAGCGACGAAAATAAATGGGCTAAAAAATCCACTGCAGTAGATAGACATAGTGATTTAGGCATGATATGCTGCAATAATTCGACTATCACAGATTGCATGGTGTGCCCCTCGACCTCAGCTACTTTATGCAGTTGGGTATTGTAAGATTTATCGATTTTCTTGTATAGAATACAATAATATGCTTCAAACACTCGATGCAGACACTTACCGGCAGCATCGAGTCTAGATCTATTTCCATCCTGCATTTCGCGATCTCGCAACATAAGCTTCTGTTGTTGTTGTTGTTGTTGTTGTTGTTGTTGTTGTTGTTGTTGTTGTTGTTGTTGTTGTTGTTGTTGTTGTTGTTGTTGTTGTTGTTGTTGTTGTTGTTGTTGTTGTTGTTGTTGTTGTTGTTGTTGTTGTTGTTGTTGTTGTTGTTGTTGTTGTTGTTGTTGTTTTGTTTTGCTTTTTGTTTGTTTGTTTGTTTTTATTTTTTTATTTCCGACAGCACAGCGGCAACTACGCCAAGCTCCTAGCACCGATATGACCGCTTCTTTCGAGCCAGAAACATAGGATCGCAACCCTCCTTCGACAGGTCATAGTTTTCGACAAATCGCAAGAGCATTAGGAATAGGGAAGAGCACAATACAGACATATGCACACCGAGCCACCCAGCGTAAAGGCAGCCTAGCGGTCAGGCCAATTGTCCCTAGGAATGGCCGACCATGCATGCTCTTGGTACGTGATAGGCACTCACTGGTTCGAGAAGTCACTTCCGGCCATGCGAAGACTAGCATAGAAGCCGCGGAACTGTTAGAATCAGAGCGCAGTATCGATATCTGCCCTAGAACCGTGTATAACGCCTTGAAGCAGTCAGGTTTAGTAGCCGTCCAGAAACCGAAGAAGCCGTGCCTTTCTGCCCGTAACATCAGAGACCGCCTCGATTTTGCCAAGGCCCACCTTGACTGGACCTTGGAAGACCGGACGCGGGTGATATGCTCCAACAAGACCAAGATCAATCGCCTTTCCAGTAATGGCCGCACGTACGCGTTACGCGACGGGGCGGCTCTGCAAGGTCATCAAGTGCAGCAAACTGTCAAGCATGGGGGCCGGTCAATAATGATATGGGGTTGCATGACATATGATGGTCCCGGATATATATGTAAGATTGATGGCCGCATGAATGGGAAGCTGTACAGAAGCATATTGCATGATGAGCTTGCACAAACCATCGATTTCTATGGTCTAACCCCCTCGGATGTCATCTTCCAGCATGACAACAACCCCAAGCACAAAAGCCGCCTTGTGCAGGCTTGGCTGTCTGAGCAGCAGTATTCAGTCTTGAAGTGGCCCTCCTCCTTCCTGATCTCAATGTAATAAATAGAGTTGAAATGATTGATAAGGTAAGGAGCCCAAGGCTCTATAAGTACATGGCAAGGTGAGAGAGAATGGATGAAGGGGGAATTGGAGGGAATCCCCATTGGGATCTCTGGAATCTCCAATTGGGTAATTGGAGATTGTGGGGATCACAATTGGGTGAGGTTGGGATTTGTGAGTACACCCCAACCCACTAGAACATTCACAACCTAAATTAGGATATAAAAGTACAAATACAAAAGTGGTATTTGCAGTCTATTTCTAACACACCCCCATAGACTGCAAACCCGGTCAAGGAGCACATAGCCCCATGGAACAGAGAAGGCGATGGTGGTCAGCCTTGCCGAGAGCCTTGGTAAAGAGGTCGGCGAGGTTGCAATCTGAGGCGATGTACCGTACCGTCAGCTGGTCACTCTGAACAAGATCTCGGATGAAGAAATGACGAAGTTCGATGTACTTGGTGCGAGAGTGGAACACATGATCCTTGGTGAGATGAATGGCACTCTGGTTGTCACACCACAGGGTGGGCGACTACTGGGGGTAGCCTAACTCAGCGAGGAGAAAGAAGAGCCAGTGTGCCTCTTGAGCAGCCATTGTGCCCGCGTAGAGCTCGGCCACACAGAACGACAGGGAGACTGCAGAGGACCGAGTGGAGCGCCAGCTGATGACTCCGCTACCAAGGGTGAAGCAGTACCCTTGGGAGGAGCGTCTGTCAGTCTGGTCATCGGCCCATGAGGAGTCTGTGTATCCCTCGAGCTTGACTGGAGAGGTACCACCAAGAGTGAGGATGTGAGACTTGGTGGCTTGTAGATAGCGGAGGACCCTCTTACCTGCAGACCAATGCGAGGCAGTGTAGCGTCCGGGGGAGACGTACCGAGAGAGGACACTAACCGGGTAAGCCAAGTCTGGTCGAGTGCACATCATGGCATACATGAGTGAACCGACTAGCTCAGGGTACGGGTCCTTGCAGGCGTCAGGAGAAGGAACTGGAGGGGCCGTGAGCTGATGCTGTAGTGGGAGTGGAGTGGAGACAGAGTTACTGGAGTCCATGTCGAACCGCTTGAGAAGGTTGTCGATGCAGGACTCCTGGGAGAGGTTGATCGTGCAAGCCTGGCGGTCACGAGTGATCTCCATCCCCAGGTAGTTCTTGAGGTCACCAAGATCCTTCATGAGAAGGGCGGAGCTGAGAGCAGACTGGACAGCTGCCATGTCGGCTGGATCTCTGGCGGCTAGAATGAAGTCATCGACGTAGATGAGGATGTAGAAGGGCTCGGAGGAGTGACGAACGAAGAGACTGGAATCTGAGGCAGAGGGATGGAAGTCAAGTGCGAGGAGGACTTCCTTCACCTTGTTGTGCCACTCACGAGGAGCCTGCTTGAGGCCATACACTGGGCGCTTCAGCTTCCACACTGTATTGGCAGGGTAAGTGCCAGGAAACCCCGGTGGGCGTTCCATGTGAACATCCTCCTTGAGCTGGCCTTGGAGAAAGGCGGAGGAGGCGTCCATGGACTTGATCTCGAAGTTGCCGCGAGCGGCTATATCAAGAAGAGCGCGCACAGTCGGGAGCTTGGCCGTGGGCGAGAATGTTCCGAAGAAGTCGAGACACTCCTTCTGGGTGAAACCCTTCGCCACGTATCGTGCCTTGAACAGTGGAGCTTCGCCTGGGAGTTGTTTGACTCGGAAGATCCATTTTCCGCCGACGATGTTGACACCGGAAGAGGGGGAACAACATCGTCAAAGCTGTTGTTGCGAATGAACGCCTCGTTCTCCACATCCATTGCTGCCTTCCACTCCTTTTAAGGCCCCGAGAGAGCTTCCTCTTTTGTGCGAGGAGTCGGAATGGTCGGGTTCTCGGTGAAGTTGAGGGAAGGGCAGTCAGTAATGTCCGGGAAGATGTGAGAGAGAAATTGGCAGACCGCGTGAAGGTCAAACAGCTCCTCATGCCTGTCCTCCAGAAGTGCACGGGGGGGAATACGGATGGAGGGGACATCACCCTCGGCAGGAGGAGGCGAGGTGACCGAACACCGGATGGAGAAGGCGGCTGGTCCCCAGGCGAGAGGCGGAGCCGGTCCCTTGGAACGAGTGCGACTAGAGACCGGAGACGAAGGCGGCTGCGGTGGGACCGGAGGGACTGGGCGCCTCCGATAGGAGACTGGTGAGCCGGGCTCGACGCGCGGGGAAGGCGGAGCAGGAGGAGGTGCCGCTGCGGAGGATACTGGGGAGGCCGGGTGAGACACGCCGGACGGAGAAGGCCCTGGAGAAGGGGCAGCGGCCGGAGGTGGGGCATCGAAGTCTGCCCAAACAAGCGTCGGGGGAGGTGGAGGAGGCTCGCCCGTGGTCGCAGAGTGGAATGGGCGTGTCTCATCGAAGACCACATCACGGCTGCGAATCAGCTGTCTGGTGATTGGGTTGAGGAATAAGTAGTCTGGGGAGTCGGAGTTGTGCCCCAGGTACATGCAGGTCTGGGTTTTGGGACCAAGCTTGCCACCTTGCTTCCTGCGCGTGTGGGGGCTTAGCAACACATACGCGGTACACCCCCAGACGCGTAGATAGCGGGCGCAAGGCATGACCCCAAGCCAGAGAGCGGTAGGTGTGGTGTCGGGCCGGTGGGGATGCGGATAAAGATTGTAGAGGAGTGCCGCATGGAAGAGGGCATATCCCCAGAGTGACCGTGGTGCGTTGGCGTGACTGAGGAGGCAGCGAGCGATCTGAACCAAGGTGTGGTTGCAGCTCTCTGCAATGCCGTTCTGCTGCGGGCTTTCGGGGAGCGTGAAGGTTTGCCGAATCCCTTGGGCCGCACAGAAGTTATCAAGTTTGCCATTGCGAAATTCTCCCCCGCCATCAGAATGGAGGCACTTCAGAGGAGTGCCGAACGTGACTTGAGCCTGGCGCACCCACGCCATGATGACATCAGGTGCCTCCGCCTTGGTATGCAGGAGGTGCACAGAAACATACCGCGAGTGGTCATCGACTAGTGTAAGAAAGTACCGATGACCGCCTCGGGATGCGACTGGAGCTCGGCCCCAGACATCCATGTGCACTAGGTCCAGCGGAGCAGCTGCGACGGATGGGGAGGAAGGGTGCGGCTGCTGCCTGAGCTTGCTCTTGGTGCAGTCCAGGCAGGTGGGTGCAGGCGAGTCTGTTGGTGGAGGAAGCGCCGACGGGAGGCCAAGAAGAAGTTTCTTGGAAGCGATGTCGGCAAGTGTACGGAAGTTGGGGTGACCCAAGCGATGGTGGTAGATGATGGTTGGGTTGGCGAAGCTGCGACACGAACACGGAGTGGTGCTGGCAGCTTGCGCTTGGGAGAGGGCGGCGAGAGGTGCAGGTGAACGCAGCGTGTAGAGCTTGCTACTGTTGAGTGTGAAGCGTGCTAGGAGCTTGTTGGACTTAGGGTCGAAGAGGTCACAGTAATCCGAGTGTGCTGGGAAGATCGTGGTGACGCCTGCCCGTTGGAGCTCGTGTTGGGCCACGAGATTGTGGTGTACTGTGGGAACACACATGCCAGTGACACTGCCCGAAGGAAAAGCTGGGCACGGAACTGTGGAGGAGCCCTTGGCGTGTGTTGTGAAACTGGAGTCTGCTCCAAGTAGACGGATTGGTGTCTCGTATGGCTTGAAGGAGTGTTCTTCCTTGAGAACCGTGTGAGTGGCCCCACTGTCGAGGGTGAACTCTATTGTGGCTGAGGTGCTTTGTGAGCCAGGATACTGCGAAATCGTCTCATTAATCATGGCAGTGCCAGGGAACAACATGTTGAGGCGCACATCAGCAGGTGCAGCCACAGCACCGTGCACGGATTCCTGCGCTTCGACTTGATTGACTTGGCGAGGAGCACGATTGACCATCCAGCTTGGCGGCTTGGAGGCGGTCCCATTGACGGCATACCACTCGTCATCCAATTTCTTGAAGTAGGAGGCAAGGGCGTGGTTGGTGCCGCCACACACCTGGCGAGCACGAGGGCCGCGCTTGATGACGTAGGGACACGGGGGGAAGCGATCCTCGAGGTAGAGCCAAATGGCGTTGGCAGACGGGTAGTTGTGGTAGGTTTTGACGAGTTCAGGAGGAGTGGTGCCCATGAAGACACTAATGACCGCACCATCGGCCTTCTCCCAATTCTTGTACTTGAGCACTGTAGCAGCATAAACTGCAACGGCGGCGGCATTAGCTGGATCGGCGGACCTCTCGGGTTTTGGAGGCTCTTTGCCGTCACCGATGTTGAGAAGGACGTCGGTGAGCTCGAGCCCCTTCACCTCGCGACTGAGGAGGTGCTTGTCGACACCATAGCGCCAAGCCTTGTAGTTGGAGCATGTGCCGTCCGGCTCGAGACGAAGGAGCGGGATCGGGTTGGCGAGTGAAGTGGTTGAGTAAGCCATTGTCGGTGTGCAGCGCGGCACTTCTGGAAATTGGTCGACGAGAATTGCT